CCATCCAGCAGGGCAAACCCGAGGCGCTCCTGCTCACTTCTCCACCCGCACAGGAGCCTCTGCTCCGCGAGCGTGGACGTGAAAGCGCAGAGAACCGGCGGAGGGGGCTGCCTGCGGGAGGCGGGCCTCCCTGCGCTCAGAGGCCTGGGGTGCTCCGTGTCGCACCTGCACCCGTCCGGACCGCGAGACCTGCTTGACGGGCCTTGTGCCTCCCTTGGGCGCCTACACTGCAGCCCTCCGGGAGCTTCCATGTCAGGGCAGAGGCTGTATTGGAACGTCCCCATGGCCATGGCCAGAAGAGCCAACACGCATTCGTTGCTTTGGGCGGTGAGCTCACTTCTTTCGACCCGCGGGGGGCCCTCAGGAAAGGCGGGGCATAAGTCTAGCACCCCGTCACCCCAGACCATACCTGTCGAGAGCATCCCGCCGCCGGATGTTGGAAACTTTTCTTAGACTAATGGTTAATCTCTTAGTGTATAAAGAGTTTATACAAATTAAGAAGAAAAAGATCAACAACGCAATAAAAAACAAAATATGAACACTTTGCAGAAAAGGAATACAAACGGCTTTTAAATACTTTTTATTTATTTTACAGCTTTTTAATGGCTTTTCATTCACTTTTGAAAAAATTCTCGACCTCTCTCGTAAGAAAAATGTAAATCAAAACTTCAGTGAAATGCTATTTTCCACGTATCAGATTGGCAAAGGTAAAGAGGGTTGATAATCCACTGTGTTGTGAAGGTGTGGAAAACATGTACTCTCAAACATTGCTATTTAGAATATAAATTTTTCTAAACACTACAGAGTGCAATTTGACCATATATATATCAAAGTTCCAAATGTATTTGCACTTTGATCTAACACTACCATTTCTGGAAATTTATCCTGCAAATAATCTCACATGTGCAAAATGACCTGTATACAGAGCATTTATTCCAGACTTGTTTTTAAAAGCAAAAGTTTGAAAACAAACTAAATGTCCATCGATAGAGAGATAAATTATGCTATGTCCATCCAATAGACTACAACTCTATTTTTTAAGTGAAATAACTTTATATATACTGATGTGGAAGCTTTTTCCAAGGTTTATTGTTAAGATAAACAAAAAGCAAGATGCAGAAGATTGTATATAGTATACTATTCTGGGGGTATTTGTAATTCATAGAATTTTTCGGAAAGGATATAGTGCTAGTGTTGGTGGAAGCCTTGAAAGTAGGGAACTGGGAGTTATTGAGGAGAGAAGGTATATCCGTGTGTTTGGGCTTTCATAGCAAAGTACCACAGATTGGCAGGCTTAAACAGAAATTTATTTTCTTACAGTTCTAGAGACTAGAAGTCCAAGGTAAAGGTTTAATCAGGCTTGGTTTCTTCTGAGGCCTTTCTCCTTGACTTTGCAGATGTCTCCTCCTCAATCTGTGTGTGTGTATCCTAGTCTCTTCTTGTAAGGACACTACTCATATTGGATCACTAATCATACTGGACATCCATATAAACTCATTTTACTTTAATTCCCTCTTTAAAGGTCCTTTCTCCAAATAGTCACATTCTAAGGCCCCAGAGTTAGAACTTCAACATATAAATTCTAGGGGACACAGTTTAGTCCATAACAGAGGAGAACTTCATTTTCTTATATATCCTTTTGATTCTTTTGAATTAAGTACTATATGCATGTCTTACAAAATATTTTTAGAAGTCTCTCTTATTCTTACATTTCCCTCCAGCTGCTGCCACTTTTCTTTGTTCTGTTTCACGGTAAAATTTCCCTTCCCTTTATTGTCTCCTCTGGCTCCAATCTGGCGTTCAATCCCACCGCTCCACAAAGAGTTCTCTTGCAAAGACCACCACTGACCTCCCTTTCTGGTGGTTACTTTCTTGTCGTCATCTTACCTAACATCACAGCATTGAAAGGAGCTTCTCATGGCCTCTGTAATACCAACTTTTCTGGTCTCCCTCTCCCCTCATTGCTCTTTCTGAGTCCTTTTTTGCTGGTCTGTGCCCCTTCCTTGACATCTGCATGGTAGAGCATGCGTTCTCAACCGTAGACCTTGTATTCTTCTCTATCCACACTCTTGCAGAGGCTCCCAAACTTTCTGGGTTCACAGCACCTTTAGTATCTCACTAATTTTTCAGTATTTATAGGACAAAAGAAATACCCAACAGTTCCATTTCCTAGTTAGTTCCCAAAAGTAAATAAATATGTAATCCTATTATAAATACTATGTATTAAATCTATTAATATTATAAATATATCCTTAGTGGCCATTTGAAAAAAATAACATGCACAAAATGAAGACAAAGATCGTATTTATTTCTTAAACTTATTTTATTCTTAAATAACAATTCATTTACTTCCTAAATAACAATTTCTTACTGAGATTTGTGCATCTTCTGGGCATTGTACAAGTTTGCAGACCTTGGGATCTTATTGGACACTACCATCTTCATTTCCTGTTCCATGATGATTTTTACAGACTGCTTTCTTTTCATCAAAGCAACCACAGAAACCCCACCCTTGCAAAGATATAATGGTATCAAAAGGAATGTAGTAAATATCTAATGTTGAAATTATGAACTAACTCTAGCAAGTCATTTGCATGATGACTGACCCATATCAAGTATTGTTGTTTCTCTCAAAAATTTAAAATATCCCACATAGTAGATTTTATGAAATATGTAAAGAAGAAATAATACCAATCCTTCACACACTTTTTCATAAAACAGAGGAGGAAAGATTTCCTGACTCATTCTGTAAAACCAACATTACCCTAATACCAAAGCCAGAGACATCACAAAAAAACTACAGTATCCCTGTAAACAGAATATCCAGTAAAACTGGAAAAGGATTATATGCCACAGCCAAGCAGGGTTTATCCCAGGCATGCAAGGTTAGTTAACAATTAAAAATCAATTAACATAGTACACCACACTAACAGAATAAAGGACAAAAACCACATGATCAACTCAACAGATGCAGAAAAAACACATGACAAAATTCAACACCCACTCATGAAAAAAATACTTCCACAACCTGATAAAGGTCTATGAGAAAACTATTGGTAATATCATATTTACTGGTGAAAGACAGAAGATTTTTTTCCATAGGACTGGGAAAAAGACAGTGGTGTCCATCTTCATTACTTCTATTTATTATTGTGCAGGACATTCTGGCCCCCTCTAAGAAGGCAAATAAAAAGGGGGGTGAGGAAGGAAGGAAGGAGAAAGGAAGGAGTCCTAAGGAATATAGCAGGGTGAAGGAAACAAGTTGAAAATGTAGAAATCAGTTCTATTTTTACATACTAGTGATGAACAATCCAAAAATGAAATTAAAAAATAATGTCACTCAGGGTGCCTGGGTGGCTCAGTCAGTCAAGCATCCGACTCTTGGTTTTGGCTCAGGTCATAATCTCAAGTTCATGAGATCCAGCCCCCTCGCCTCCCCGCTCCGCACCCCCCTCCCGCCCCGTCCCAGACAGCGGGCTCCACGCTCAGCAGGGAGTCTGCTTCTCTCCCTCTCCCTCTGCCCTTCCCCGCTTCACGCTGGTGCCTGTGTGCCCACATGCGTGCACTCTCTCTCTCAAATAAATAAATAAATAAATCTTTAAAAAAAAAATGTCACTCACAATAGCATAAAAAAATTAAAGAACGAAACTTGTACTCTGAAAACTACAGAACATTGCTAAGAGAAATGATAAAAGATTTAAACAGATTTTTTTGTTGTTTGCAGATATAAGACTTAAAATTCTTCAATGGCAATTCTCTTCAAACTGATCTATAGATTCAATGCTAACCCTATCAAAATCCCAGCAGGCTTTCTGAGAAATTAACAAGCTGGTCCTAAAATTTATATGGAAATATAGAGGACCCAGAAGAGACAAAACAATTTCGGAAAACATATACTAGCTGATTTCAAATTTCACTGTAAAGTTACAGGACAGTGAGATGTTGATGCAAAGATAATCAAATAGATCGATAGAACATAATTGAAAGTCCAGAAATAAATCCTCCCCTTTCTGGTCAATTGATTTTCAATAAAAGTGCGACAGCAATTCAATAAAAAAAAGACAGTGTTTTTAACAAATGGTGCCAGAAAAATTGACTATCCATATGCAAAAAGTTAATTTAGACCCTTATGTCAAACAAAATTGAGTTACAAAAATTAATTCAACCCAAAGGTAAGAACTTAAACTGCGGAGTAATTTGATGTCTGTCTGGGACTAGCTCAAGCAAGAGATGTGGAGTGGATGAGAGATGTGGAGTTGGGTGTTCTCAGCTTGCGGTTGAAGCCACGTGAGGGATGGGAACTACTGAGGAAAGACCATGGAATCCAACCTCTACCTGGCAATGGGAGTGGAGTCCAGGAGAGGGATCTGGGACTGAGGTCTCTGGAATCCTGGTCAAGGAACCAAGAGTGCTTAGAGCCATTGTCCAGAGTTCTTTCACTTAGAGTTTGAATTTGCCTGGAGTGATGGCGCCTTGAAATAGAAGACCCAAAGCTAAGTGCTAAGACCACCAATGGCTGTGAGGGAATAACCAGATAGATGACTTGGGTGAGAAGAAAGGAAAGATAGCGGCCAAGAGTTTTTCTGCACCAGAAGAAGATCTAGAAGTGTCACTCTTCAACCATTGTAGTACACCTGACTGGGTGATATTCCCCTCCTGAGAATTTTCTGATTATCGTAATTACCATCCCATCCTTTGCATCTTCTTAATTGTCCATTTACTAACCACTTTTAGGGGTACATGATCACATAATCAAATCTAACAAATGTTGGCGAATAAATGTCTCGTTTATATCTAATAATACGTGATCCTGTCCTAGAACTATAAGCCTCTTTTTAATTGATTGAAATTTAAAATCTATAACTTTATTTCTGGATACCAAAAAAAGGAGAATTTTGAGATATTCCCTAAAAGGGCAATTCGTTTCCAGACCTTCTAAAACATATTCCACACTCCCTTTCTCCTAGAGCTCCGCCTTCCTTCAAATCACTTTCGCTCGCTCGCTCGCTAGCTCGCTCGCTCGGCTGGAAATCTCGCGAGAGATCGAGTTCTCATGAATTCTCCCAGGAGCCTCTGCTCTTCCTCTTCCCCTAAGCGGCCTGAGGTGAGTGAGTGTTTGCCATGTCTACCCGGCTACTGAATCCTCCGGTCATCGCCACCATCCTGGCTTCGGTGGCGCTGATGTCCATGTCCCCGGGAGGAAGGCTTCTGCGGCTATCGATTCTTCGCTGAAGGGGATGTCCTTCGGTGCAGGGGAACGTGTCGGAGCAGAAGGCCGCGATGGGCGGGAATGGGGGTGGCGAGGGGTACGGGCGGCCTGTGGTCAGTGCCGTTTCCGACTCCTGAGGGCCAGTGTCTTTCGGTGAGTGTCGGCTGAGTACGCGGCGCGTGTGTGGCTGCAACGAGAGAACGTTTTGGGGGAATAAAAGTAAAGTCGGGTTGAGCCTTCATCCGTTTGAACGAGTGTTTGAAGTTCGATGGCGCTTAACGTAATAGCCCAGAAGTACTGGGGAGACGGCAGCGCGTTCTCCAGAGAGAAGCGTCCTGCCGCGCCGAGGCGTCGAATCCTTTTACTCCTGAGGGATCCAGAGGGGGATTGAAACTGTATTTTCCTTCAGAGGGAGAGGGCTGCTGAGGTCCGTGGCACTAGTCTGTGTCAGCACTGCCGCAGGCCCTAGTAGATGCAGGGGGAGAAAGCACTGGAGAAGAGGATGGCCGCGATGATGGCATTTCTTAGGACACCTTTGGATTAACCGTGAAAACAAGTACTTTCTGAGCGGCTGTTGGTAGTAGTTAATACACAAATTGCGTCGGTGACCGTAAATTCGTGTCGACAGAATTCCTTCCCGCTCCCTTCCAGGTGACCTCTGAAAATGGTTCGCTATTCGCTTGACCCAGAAAACCCTACGAAATGTAAGTGAACAATATATTCCTTATTTTGGGGGGTAAAAGGAACAATGAGATACCCCCAAATTAACCAAAACTTCTTGTTTCTTAGCATGTAAATCAAGAGGTTCAAATCTTCGTGTTCACTTTAAGGTATGGGAACCAACTTTTACGTTCTAAGAGTTGTGTCACGTGTTCCGGTGAATTTCCCGCCCCCCC